TGGACGGTGTCTCTAGTTCACTTACACCAACAGTAGAGTTCGGTTCGTTCATAGGCTTAGGACCTGTTAAAGTGTTCCTCTGTGTGTCATCTGAATTATATTCTGTGACTGAACGCATTGGTGAGCAGTCTCGACTGTAAAAGTTGACTTTGGTAGGTCGCACATGAATTCTATTCCTACGATATATGGTTCCATTCTGGTCCTTGACAATGTATGTCCGTGGTCCGAGAATACCATTGATTTTTCCGAGTTTCCAGTTGCGTCCCTCTAGATGCTGGAAGAATACCGCTTGACCAATATCCAATTCACTCTGCTCACGAGACTTCCTGTCAAACGATTTCTTTACTGCCTGCATTGCAGGTGATTGCAAGACTTTCTGGTTTGATGTATTTCTGTGGAAAATATGGCATCATACCACGTACTTTTCTGTTAAACATGACTTCCGCAGGACTAACACCAGTGTCTTGTTTTGGTGTATTTCTTTGTTCCAGAATTTCTTCATAAGGATCTGTCTTCTCCACTTCACATTTCTCTAACAGTGTCTTCATGATTTTAACAGCTGACTCAGCTTTGCCATTGGCCTGTTGATGCATAGGTGATGATGTAATGTGAGTGATATCCCACTTTTTTGCAAAATCTTGGAAACTGTGGTCCACCATCAGACATGATTACATTTGGAACTCCAAATCGAGCAAAGTGTTTCTTAAGTACAGCTATTACTCTGGAGCTTGTCATGGACGTCATCAAATCGATTTCAATAAAATTAGAGAAATAGTCCACTGCGATCAAATAATGTTTTCCATTCAGCTCAAACAGATCAAGTCCTATTTTCTGCCATGGAGTAGATCCTTCTGGATGCTGCATTAGTGGAGCCTTTTGGTTCATTGGTTTTCTTTCTTGACATATTGAACAACAGTCAGCCAACTGCTTAATTTCTGAATTCATCCCCGGCCAAAATATCGTTCCTCGTGCCCTTCTTAACATACTATCATATCCAAAATGGGCCTTGTGAAGTCTTGCCTTCATCTCATTTCTCAAAGATTTAGGAATCATAACAGCTTCCCCTTTAAGCATCAGTCCATCACTATGTGATATAGTGTCTCTAAAGTCAAAGTAATGGCGAATTCCCAGTGGCGTTTCATGTTTCTGCTCCGGCCACCCGTTCATCACCATTTCCTTGAGAATTTGCAATTCTTCGTCAACCTCTGTTGCCTCTTTTATTTCGAGAAGGCGAGCATCAGGGATGTCACATGGTTCATCACTCTTCAATGACATGATTCTCATTCTTTCACTAAAGTTACCCTCATCACTCTTCAGATATGCACGACTCAAAGTATCTGCAATTTCGAGCTTCGTTCCCTTGACATACACAAAGTCAAAATCATACCGGTTCCATCTCATCATGATGTCCTGTAGTCGCTTCGGTGCCATTGCAAGAGGTTTCTTCAGGATGGCCTCTAAGGGTTTATGGTCATTTTGTATTATCACATTACGGCCATATGTATACTGGTCAAAGCGTTCCAGACCATATAACACAGATAACGCTTCTTTCTCGATCTGCGCCCAGTTCCTCTCAGATGCTGTGAGTGATCTAGAAGCATACTCCACCGGTCTGCCGTCCTGAAGGAGAACTGCACCAATGCTATCTTTACTACTGTCCACTTGTACTACTACCTCCTTTCCAGGATCAAAGTAAGCTAGCACAGGGGTTTCTGTCAGCATCTTCTTGATTTTCTGAAATGCTGATTCACAGTCCTTAGACCAATGCCAGGCCTTATCTTTGCGAGTAAGTTCTCTGAGCGGTTCCAATATGGTCGAAAGGTCAGGAAGGAACTTTGCCATGTATTGGACCATGCCACACAGTCTCTTGATTCCTGAAACATCTGTAGGAGGCTGCATGTCATTTATGGCTCTTACTTTCTTGTCATCAATTTTCACTCCTTCTCTGGAAATGACATGTCCATGAAATGATATTTCTTTGAGCCCAATCTCTTGTTTTTCTTTATTCAAAATGATGTGTCTCTCCTCACATATTTCAAAAACCTTTTGTAATTTTAGATCGTGGTCTTGTTGAGCTTGTTTGTCGTTTGCTCTACAGCCGGCTATGATGATGTTGTCCACCACGCTGAAAACACCTGTCATGTTTCCAAACACTTCATCCAGTTTTCTCTGGAATATTTCACTTGATACCTTTAGTCCGAAAGGTAGTCTTCCACATCTATACCTTCCAAAAGGTGTTATCATTGTCGTTAGTCTGCTGGATTCCTCGTCCAACTTTACATGCCAAAAAGCCTCTTTCACGTCAAGTTTTGTGAAGGTTCTTGCCTTACTGAGCTGCGGTAGAATGTCATCGAGAACAGGCAGGCGATAATGTTCTCTCATCAAGGCTGTGTTAAGTGCTTGTGGGTCAATACACAATCTTAGTTTTCCGTTGGCTTTACGAGCAATAGCCATCTGGCTGACCCAAGGAGTAAGTTCTGTTATCGGAATTAGCACTCCTCTATCTTCAAGTTTTTGAAGTTCCTCTCGTACCAAACTCTGGAGTGCGATAGGGATCTTCCTGCAGGGAAGAGCTTTGGGTTTCACATCTGGGTTGACATGTAGATGTGCTGTTCCCAGATCGCCTAGGTCGCTGCTTGACAAACTGGCTATGAATCTCTCATCATTTATAGTAATCAACTTCAATTTCTGCACAGCTTCAAGTCCAAGTAAACATGTGTACTGATTTGGAACAACAATGAATCTGAGTTGGAGTTTCTCATTTGTACGTGGATTGATAACTGTCAGATCTGCCTCACCAAGTGGCTTCATATTTGTCCTATTCCACATGTTCAACAAGGTTTTGGTAGGCTTGCATTGTTCCTTGCGGACATAGGACTGAGAAATTGTATTAACATCTGCGGCACTATCAAGTTGAAATCTAATGTCACAATCATTAATTCGCATGATTGCAGTTACTTCCTTGCCACCAGAACTAACAGCTTTCAACCACTGGTCCTCATTGAATTCTTGTTCTTGACTAACTGAGTGTATCTTCTTACACTTTGCTTTGAAGTGATTCCTTCCACCACACTGTTCACAACATTTTCCCCATGCTGGACATTTCTGTTTACCTGGTTCGTGCTTGTACCCACAGAATTCACAGTCTTTTTTCTTATATTGAGTTTGTTTAGTCTTTGGAATTTCCTTCTTTTTCTCTATTTTCTGTTTACCATGCATGTACTTGTCATTAGATTTCTGTATCTTGTTCACTTTTAGAGTGGTTTCACGTAGCTCCTTTACTTGTCTGTTTGATTGTTCATACGCCCTACATACTTGGATTGTTCTTTCCAGTGTAAGTTTGTCCTCTCTGAGTAGAAGTTCCTGTAACTTGCCAGTAACCGTGAACACTATTTTGTCTCTCATCATTCTGTCTGGTTCCTTAAAGTTGCATGATGCAGCACGTGTCTTCAGATCTGTGAGAAACTATCAAATGGATCTTGATATGGGAGCTTCCAAAATCTGTGAGATTCAAGTACTTCATTTGATCTGGGGTTACAATAGGATTGTAATTTCTCAAACAGTTTGTCAGGGTCATTCTTATCATCACCATTTTCCCACTTGAATTGGTCATAAATTTCTACCACGTGGGGGCCTCCACAACTGAGAATTATGGCTACCTGCACTTCTTTGGCCTTGTCCGTGCCACCGGAAGCTGTGAGATACACCTCGACCTGCCTTTTCCATTTCTTAAAATTTTCTGAGACGTTTCCTGTTGTCAATTCTAACTCTGGCGGTAATCGAAAAGGACAGTTATATACCTGCACTGGGGTTGGTTCTGCCTCACCCATGTTTCATATGCAAATGGCGGACGCACGTGGTTGCACAAGAAGTCAAAATTTACGTGTACAAATAGCAGTTTGTAATCGTAAACAGTCACCTTGCAAATGCTGATTTGGATTGTTGAGACGTTTTCAGAGTCCACACACCGCTGCCACCATGTTAATTCGTGCTATCTGGACGACAACGCAAGGACACAATACACAACGGTCAACATGCGTTTTATTCAATACACATACCAAACAATACATTGTACAACGAACCCGACTAGAATTCCGATCCCGTTCCAAATATACTGCATTTCATCAACATTGATGCTGACCAAAAACTTGGCGGTGTGATGATGTTTGTAATCGGACCATGTTTTTGTCTGCACTTCTAGGTTTTGTGGTTTCTCTAAAAATACCTCAGTTCAATCTATGATATGGCACACAGATGAATATTTTTTGCTTCCAAAAGATGGTGGTAGATTTTCGCGCACTACTTCTTTAGATGGACTGAACGCAAGGTTACCAAGAAATTTGGATAGTATCTTGATCCATGTTGTGAAGATTTTTGAGATTTGTGGAGTGGTAATGTTGAATCTTGTGGCCAATAGGGCGAGAAAGCGGAAGTACGAGAGTTCGCGAGATTTGGCGTGAAACGAACTAATCCGTGTCATACATTGGCATTATCTCTAATAAGATTGATTTCTTGTTTTTACTGAAACAGAATGGCATTTTCCATTCTGTATTGGTTAAATTTTGTATCAGGAACTAAAAAGAAGTCTGAACTGGCCTTAAAATCTGACCACGTACTAAAATTTGTGTACGATGCTGAGCTGAGACACGTCCAGGGAAGAGTGCAAGCCAGCATGAGGGATAGAAGCTATCATGTTAACGTATGTACCAAATAATTTGATATTTGACGTGAATAATATAAGTACATAAATGAAATTATTTTCAGTAGTTCCATATTATATTTAGATCACACTCGGGGAAAATTACACGGTTGAAGATAGTATTTATGACTGTGTTAATGGTCAGGATAAGTGCCACCACAAAGCCTCTCTTCTGTTATATGGGTATGCATTTTCTTTGCAATAAAAACAATTATAAATGAACATTTTTTTTCATTTTATAAATGTAATTCATCTTCATTTAGATATAAGAATGTAAGCAAGACAGACATACGAGAATCATGGATTAAACACCCTAAGAGTAGACCACCTAAGAAAGTCAGGACAATGGATGAGCTATTTCCTCCTACACCAAAACTAGCTAACTTCAGGTATACATGAATTATGTAAATGAAAAAGAAAACAAAACAAAACTTACATGTAGATTTTTTAGAATACTTCTGCATTCTATTTAAAGCAGAATAAATCATATTACACTGACAGGGCAACATCAAGATCAGTTGACGAGAGAGATATAAATTTCTTACGGGAAAAGCTGAATGACCTTGGTCGATTTTCAGGTCTTGATTTGGAAAAAAAATAATGTTGAAACATGTTTTGTTCTTTGTTCATTTGAAAATATTTACATTTGCCAATGTGTTTCCTTATACATGTTATATGATATACTAACAAAATTTTCATTCAGTTTTTGTTGACATGAAGTTGGTCACTATCAGCTTTCTTGGGTATTGAAAGCAAAGTGCATAAGATATTTGGAAGGTTTAAACTGTGACATCACATGATGTCATACATGTACATGATGTTAACCAAGTCTAAAATGTGCATTTTTTTTCTTTGTGACACAAATCAAAATATAAAGAATATAAAAATATCATTTTTTTTTAGTTTTTTTTTTTTTGATTAATGACATAAAGTTGGTACATATCAAATCTACTATAACACCCTTTGGGCATTATAGGATTTGATCACATGACCAACATCATGTAATATCCAAATGAAATCTAAAAATGATATCTTATTTCTGAATGATTGTTTTAATATTTATATATTTGAATCATTTGATTTCTGTTCCTGAAGCATTTGCATATAATGAGAAAATGTTGAATTATTGATATTTGATAGCATATCACATTTTATTATTTGAAATCAAATCATAACCATATCATTTTAGATTAATAAAATATACTCATATCAATCATTCATATCAATTTATTCAAATTCTTAGCCATGCAATGGATAGTTTCTGATGAACCCCCTGCTCCAAAAGTGGATGTTCCATGTGTAGAGTATCTCCTGTTAACAGAAGGTTACACAAGTGCGACCAATAAAGTGCAGTGGCTTAAGACAAACCTGAGTGTATCAAAGCAGCAGATAGAACAAGTAATACATTTATATCAATATAATCTAAAATCATTATCAACTAGATATCATTGAGATGGTGGCCATCTCAAAGGGCCCCGCTTTCAGCAATGAACATGGAAATGTAAGGTAGCTAAAAGGGTTTATTTTGAAGAGGAACATTTGTGTACTATTAAGGGATATGTTGTTTGAGTCTAAAGTGCTTCTATGTTATCCTCGTTATAATAAAAAATGGCATGAAAATCACGAGTGCTCAACACCTTCCATCAAAAAACGGCACAAAAATCACGAATGCTGCATATCCTCAATGAAAATTGTTGCATATCCTCTATCAGAAATATGGAAGGAAAATCACAAATGATCCGTACCCTAAGTCAATTGGTAAGGTTTGAGGCTGACTGGACTTAAGGGAAAGAAATTATGCACCGAACAAAGATTTTAAACAGAGAGGCTATTTTTGACCTTGACCCTTGACCTAGAAACTTTGTTCAAGGTCACTGCACATCCACTGACAAGTGGCACTCTGTGAGTGAAGTATGAGCCGCATTGGACCAAGGGGAGAGAAGTTATGCTCTGGACAAGGACTTTTCGTATAATTCTGCTATGACCTTAACCTTAGACCTAGAAACATGGTTCATGGTCACTGCACACCCTTTACCCAAAGGTCACTGCACATCCATTGACCAGTGGCACTCTGTAAGTGAAGTATGAGCCACATTGGATCAAGAGGAAAGAAGATATGCTCCGGACAAGGATTTTTCATATAATTATGCTATGACCTTGACCTTAGACTTAGAAACATGATTCAAGGTCACTGCACACCCTTTACCCAAAGACACTCAGTCGGTGAAGTATAAGCCAGATTGGGCCAAGGAGAGAGAAGATATGCTCCGGACAAGGATTTAAGTAGAGAGGCTATTTTTGACCTTGACCCTTGACCTAAAAACTTTGTTCAAGGTCACTGCACATCCATTGACCAGTGGCACTCTGTGAGTGATGTATGAGCCATATTGGATCAAGAGGAGAGAAGATATGCTCCGGACAAGGATTTTTCATATAATTCTGCTATGACCTTAGACCTAGAAACATGGTTAAGGTCACTGCACACCCTTTACCCAAAGACACTCTGTGGGTGAAGTATGAGCCAGATTGGGCCAAGGAGAGAGAAGATATGCTCCGGACAAGAGATCTTGGACGGACAGACGGACGGACAGACTGATCACTATAGGGCACCCGCAGAGCAGGGCCCTAATTATAAATACTTTGAATCAGATTAAATCGGATAATTATGCATAACAATGCCAACTGTTTGATGAACTTTGACTGACCTGTAGGAATTGTCCCTACCCATTCTTTTTTTGTGGTACACATATTTTTAATTTTTCCCTTCTTTTAGTCTCTGTTGAAAATACAGATCAGATTGACCAGATCACAAAGTCATTTTTAAAAGTTAGGTTAATCACTTCCTTAAGACATTTGAAGATTGAAAGTAGCAATAAATCTGTCTATATAGATGTCAAGTGTATAACGCACACATCAGTAAATTTCCAAGTCTGTGATTTTTTTATGATGGTTATCAATGTGTTAGATAAATAAAAAAGTACATACTATTTACATACCTACCCATTTTGAAAAATGTGAGTCAGAGTATATCAATCAATTTTTTTATAATGATGGCACAATACTCATGTGTCAACTGATTCAAATATACTAATTCTCTTTCAAGAGAGAGGATTAAATTAAATGTTGTACATGTTGTACATGACATATCTTCAAAAAGATATATCAAAAATGTATGCAGCTTTGAAAATAAATATTAAATTGAAAGTCATGAATATCTTCCATATTTCATTTTTACACAAAATATTTATTACTTAACTATATAGTACCAAATACCTTTGCAGGTGGCACAAATTACATCTGGTCAACGAACAAATCATCTCTGGGCTTTGGTTAAAAAAAATCGATTAACTGCATAAAATTTTGGTGTAGTACTGTCTGCGATAAGAAGACAGAGGTAGTGCATTCTTTTTTCTCCAATAATAAAGTAAACATATTTTATACAAGTAATCACCTTGTAAAAGTTAAGTATATAATTTTCTTTCAACTGAGGAATTGTTGATATATTTTTCAGATTCCCACCATCATTATATAAGCAAATCTTTGCCTCATACAATCTGTCGACAAAGGATGCCATATTGTGGGGCATCAGCAATGAGTCTACTGCTAGGACAAAATCTGTTCATTTGGAGATGCTATTGTAGAGGAAACTTGTAAGTACATGTGCTTATATGTATTTTATAATATAGCCCACAGGACTCTTAAACATTTTTAAGGACAAGACATAATTTAAACATTTAAAAAAAATAAATATTGGAATTGAACTTGAAAATAACCAAACTTTTTTTTATACAGGTGTATGGCTACATGAGAGTGGCATATTAGGAGCCAGCCCCTATGGAATTATTCGTCGTGCAGCCACACACAATTACAACTACCAAGATGTAGAATTAACAGACCTACTTGAGTGCATGGCTGTAAAACCAGAAGTTTTGGAGGTAAAATGCCCATTCAGTGCAAGGAACATGACAATTCCCGAGGCCATAGAATCAGTCAAAGACTTTTGCTTGTGTATGTTTTAGTTTTAAGTACAATTTCTGCAAAATCTGAAATCTTTAATTAAGGAATGGAACATATTTAATACAAAGTTTATTATTTCATGTCTCAGGTTACCAAATATATGAAGGAAGGAAGTTCTACAAACTAAAGGAGGACCACAGATATTATGACCAGGTGCAGGGACAGCTGCACATACTTAACAGGTCATCGTGTGACTTTGTAGTGTGGACTACTAAAGATATAGCTATCGTGAGAATTCTTCAAGACAGCACCTGGACCCTAAATATGTCAAAACTCATCGATTTTTACTTTTGTAAAGACTGATGTTGTTTGGAAGCATTTATTGGGAAAATTTGTCTGTAATTTGAAATGTTTATGTAAATCAAGACAAGATATTTGTAATTTTGATATTGTAAAGTTATCTAATACACATGTATGACATGTAGATAATTTTGTATTGTACATATGTACCGATATAGGTTTTTTTGTGGATGACCTCAATTGAAGTTTTTGATTAATCCCAATTTATGCACATATAAACATGTTATATGTTTGTGTAATAAATAGACAGTAAATAGTATGGCTATATCTCAGACTTGTATATGTACATGCTACTTTGAATATTCTGTGACTTGGGACTTGACTTGAATTGCTTGTTTACAGTAATCATAAGGTACTATTTATAGGGAATATTATTGTTGTTCTCAGGGTGAAGCTGGAAACTAACAACAGAAGTCACACTTTGTTTTTCTGAATTATTACTGAAAGTTGTTTTTTTTCTCTCATCATAACACTTAATATTGAATAATTTTGTCTTCAGTTTTATATTGTATTTATTGATTTTTGCTGGTAGTGTATTTCAGGTTATTCTTACCACTTTCTATATAACTTGAATTATGATGTAAAAGATTTTTCAGCACTGTAGAAGAAATAAGTAATTTGTTCATATGCCTTTTTAAATACATGCATATCATAAACTATATTTTTAACTGTTTATGCTGTTTTTGAAATCCAGTCGAATAATATGCAATTAAACAAGAGATGAAGAGATGCGAAAATACATGTAAATTTTATGTACAGTAATGAACTATTTGACATATTCAATGTAAATCTTGGACACCATTTTGTCAAAGAATTATTTCATAGCAATTCTAATGTTTCATTATCTAAAAGACCTAATGACTCAATATATGAAAAATTGGGGAAAGAATAGAAATTTACATGTAGAATTTGTTAGTTTTCATGATGTTATAGAATTTAAAATATACATGCATTTTTTTTTTGTCAAAAATAATAATGGTAAACTGAGATTTTCAAAGAACCTTTATAAAAGATAATCACAACATTCTATTTACCTTAAAATGCTCATATTCAATGTTGTTTACAAGATTTATGGTACATTTAATACAACCTTTGATTTTTCTGGCACTTATATATAGCACTGTTGCAACCACTATTGAAATAACGACCACTATTGAAATAATTATTTCAATAGTGGTTGAGAATGCATTTCAAAACCAAACACAGGTTGTAACCACTATTGAAATAACGACCACTATTGAAATAATTATTTCAATAGTGGTTGAGAGTGCATTTCAAAACCAAACACAGGGTGTAACCACTATTGAAATAACGTTCACTATTGAAATAATTATTTCAATAGTGGTGAAGAATGCATTTCAAAACCAAACACATGATGTAACCACTATTGAAATAACGTTCATTATTGAAACAATGATTTCGATAGAGGTTTTGAGTGCATTTAAAAACTTAAACCAGGTTGGAAAATCTATTGAAATAATGTTCACTTTTCAAATAAAGATTTCAATAGGGATTGAAATAAAGATTTCAATAGTGATTTAAATAATTATTTTAATTGTCGCTGACGATGATTTCCATTCCAAAACCACATTACAAGCATTATAGAAATATCTCCACTATTAAAAAAAATATACGGATAAATTGTTCATTCCGTTTTCTAACACAATACATATATTGAGTTTAAAATATAAGTAATTTTATGTTTTTCTTTTTTCTAGAAATTTCAATTAATACACGGACATCTAAAATTCAAACAATGTATGCAAATGTTACATGCAAGATCCCGCTGATTCTTGCCGACTCGGCGAAAAACAACAGACAATCAATCAATGTATGAAATTTTTAAATAATTTTATTATATAAAATTCATCTTTGCCATTGATTTGGAAAGGAAAGGGAAGTTAGTATAAGCTTTGTTGCATTAGTGAGTATTACATCAATAGTGGTCACACGAATGAAACTGCTACTGAAACATAATATCCGCTATTGAAATAATTATTTCATTAGTGATTGTTATTTAAATAGTGGTTGCTTAATACTACCGCTATTGAAATAATACTGACTATGGAACCCTTTATTTCTACATGAACAATCGTATTTTGTTTATAAAAAATCACAAAACAGAACTAAATTCTACCAGTTTCATTTTCAAGCTTCATCAATTTGACGATACATTATTTACTTACAATTACACAATGAACATTACTATTGAGATGCCAGAGAGTGCTAATATTTAATTATACTTTAGAAATGTTCATTATGATGTCATTATATATAACGTATGTAATTCAATACGGATAAAAATAATACAGGTATATAATATTTGAAACAGGTTTATATCTGTGAATAAACAGTATCACGCTCATGTACTGAAGATCTCTTCGAAATGTCAAAAAAGAAAGGAATAACAGAGAACCTTTTGACAAGCAAATTATAAAATGACGTATTTGTTGAAAAACAGACGTTGTGTGCCTTTTTTCGTGTGTGTGGTATATACATGTATTTGCAAATTTATTGAAGGAATTCATCTCTAAGTTAGACTTGTCTCCTATTACAAAGTTAATATTGGTCAAATATTTAGAGGTAGCAACCCCTCTCTATGTCTCTACGGTTCCTATGTGCTTGCACTGGACCACATTGCTATCGTATAGCAAGAAATTATTTATGTACCTTATTTGGTCTAGATTCAATATAATTTTGACCAAACAAAATTATTTACCATTAGAAAATGTTTATATAGCTACCATTTCCTATTTTGATAAAAGTAAACATATTAAACTAAATATTTCATTTGTTCCTTTAATAAACATGAAAAATAGGTCCTTAGATAAGAATCACAAATTTTATTTTCAATGAAGACAGTGAAAAGATATTTCAGACCCGATATATAAACCAAGTCGAAATAATAGAAATAGCTTAATTATACATTAATTGCCTAAGTACAGGGTCTAAAATTTCTTCAAATGATAAAACAAAATTGCAATACAATAAGTCTTATCCACAATTTAAAGAAAAGATGAGAGGCAATAAAACAATATGTTAAAATATCACCCGTCTTTATTATATAACAATTTGTTCTGCAAAGACATTGAGATAAAAAGTAAAGGAACGAAGTACAGTTTCTTCAGTGACACTACTCATCATTTGTTATTGCTTACCAACTTGAATAAAACTCAGTGTCACGGGGCGCTTTAAAGAGAAGAAGTCGCTCCCTTTGGTTCAACAGAGGTAAGTGTTAAAAAAATGAAAAGCTATAAAATTACTTTTTTCAGTAGGATTCATAAAGTGAACACATTTGAAAAGATAAAAAAAATGTGTATCATACAATACCCAAATTACAGTATGTTCTTGAAAAAATCATAACAAAAATATAAAAGAGAAGTTAAAATTCATATTTCATATTATAATTGATTATTTAGGGCTAAGTCATATTGAGACTAATTTTAAGAAACACCTTTCTAGACCACGGATGCTTTTCAATCATCAAGGTATTTGAAAGAACGTTTCTTCTCTCCTTAATATCATAATTCATGTCTGTGAAAATTTTTAAAATTAGAAAGACACCAATGCAGAATAAAGTTCTTGAATGCATGGATTTCTGATAGTAGACACATTTTTTTTTTTAGATTAAATCAATAAGGTTATGCATAATCAAAGAGAACTTTTTTTAACCAAACAAACCTTTAATACCCTTATATATACATGTATATATATATATATATATATATATATATATATATATATATATATATATATATATATATATATATATATATATAATTAAGAGTACAAATATATCTTAAATAAAGACAACCTATGTCTACATGTGAAACTCAAAACACCACCAAAGTACTAAATGGGAAGAATTGCTCTTCATTATATGTTGTATTCTGTCTGTTATCTTATCTGTAATTATACATGTTATATGTTTATGCCCATTGGGCCCTGATTTTGTAATAAATCCTATTCTATTCTATATATATCAAACCACCTACTAGTATACAGGTAAATAGTTGTATATCCATTATCATAGGGTTAGGAAAAAAGTATCATTTTAATAAGATAAAATCCTATTGCAGATGATTCCTCCGAAGTCGAGAGGACTTCGTCCACTTTCGGAAGAGAGGTATAAGTTATTTGTTCTATTGCTACAAGGAAGATTTGATGTCCCTGTAAAGGAAAGGACATTGGAGCAGAGGAGAGGAATTCTCCACTTTTGGAGGATTAGAAACAAATTAAAACTAGAGAAAAAAGCAAACAAAGATATTCTTCTTTATGATGGGAAGCAAGTTTCAACAGGCTGTAATTTTAAGAGAACTGTACTTGAAGAAGCTAAGGATACAATGGGAGCAGGAGCAAGAAGTGTTCACTACAAAATGAAAAGGAATATCACAGGTGGAAGCGAAGCGCGTATAAGAAAAATATTATCCCGGAACTGCAGCCATTCTTTCTTCAATGCAAAATTTACGAATAAAGCACCTGTACGAAGTATGATATCAACAAAGGTTTTTGAAAGGCTTCAAATTGACTTAGTGGACTTGAGGAATGAGTCCGTGATTTATAACGGTAATGAATTTTCATACATTCTAAGTGCAATGGACTGCTTTTCAAGATTTATATTTTTGAGGCCACTCTCAAATAAGAGTCCTAGAAGTGTTCTTAAATGTTTGCAGAGCATATTTTTTGAACATGGGTATCCCTCCATTGTACAATGTGACAACGGAAATGAATTTAAGGGAGATCTGCCTTTATTCTTAGCTAGGCACAATGTAAAACTTGTTCACAGTAGTCCATATCATCCTCAAAGCCAAGGAAAGATAGAGCGTAGCAATTCTTTGCTGAAAAGAAAACTGCATTACCTAAAAGTAACAAGACCTAGCGGATCAAACTGGGTAAAATGTCTTTCAGAGGTCGAATACGCAATAAATAGCCAGCCAAAAGAAGCCTTAGGGTACCAGACACCATTTGCAGTATATTATGGACGGGGACC